TGTCTCTTGTATGCAGCATATATGTGGGTCTTATTTTTTTATCCATTCAGCCACCCTATGTCTTTTGATTGGAGCATTTAATCTGTTGACATTTAGAGTAGCTATTGATGAGTATGTACTTATTGCCATTTTGTTACTTTTTTCTGGGTGTTTTAGTAGTTCTTCTCTATTCCTTTCTTCTTCTCTTGGTCTCTTCCCTTGTGATTTGATGGCTTTCTTTAGTATTATGTTTGGGTTCCTTTTGCTTTATTTTTTGTGTATTTATAATAGGTTTCTGGTTTGTGATTACCATGAAGTTCATATATAATAACCTATGTAAATAGCAATCTATATTAAACTGATGGTCTCTTAAGTTTGACCTCTTACTAAAAGCCCTACACTTTTACTCTCCTCCCCCCACATTTTATGTTTTTGATATCATATCTAACTTATTTTTGTATGTGTGCATGTGTATCCCTTAACCTCTTATCATGGAGATAAATATTTTTAGTACTTTTGTCTTTTGACCATCACACTAGCTTTATAGGTGGTTTTTCCACTACTTTTACTGTATATTTGCCTTTACCAGTGATTTTTTTTCTTTGATAATTTTCTTATTCCTATTTGTGGTCTTTTCTTTTCCACTTAAATCCCTTTAGCATTTCTTATAAGGCCAGTTTAGTGGTGATAAACTTCTGTAGTTTTTGCTTGTCTGGAAAACTCTTTATCTCTCCTTCTGTTCTGAATGATAAGCTTGCTGGGAAGAATATTCTTGACTAGGTTTTTTCCTTGCAGCACTTTGAATATGTTTTGCCACTCCCTTCTAGCCTGTAAGGTTTCTGCTAAGAAGTCAGCTGATATAGCCTTATGGGGTTTCGTTTGTATGTAACTTGTTGCCTTTCTCTTGCAGCTTTTAGGATTCTCTCTTTAATTCTTGCCATTTTTAATTATAATGTGTCTTGGTGTGGGCCTCTTTGGGTTCTTCTTGTTTGGTGCTCTTTGTGCTCCTGGTACCTGGATGTCTGTTTGCTTCCTTAGGTTAGGGAAGTTTTCGGCTATTATTTCTTCAAATAGGTTCTCTGCCCCTTTGTCTCTCTCATCTCCTTCTGTGACACCTATAATATGGATTTTAGTATGTTTGATGTCCCAGAGGTCCCTTAGACTATCCTCTTTCTTTTTAATTCTTTTTTCTGTTCAGCTTGGGTGATTTCCTCTGCTCTTTCATCTAGCTCACTGATCCATTCTTCTGTCATCTGCTCTGCTGTTGATTCCTTCTAATGAATTTTTCATTTCCGGTATTGTATTCTTCATTTCTGATTGGTTCTTTATGTTTTTCAGTTCTTTGTTGAAGTTCTCACTGTGTTCATCTATTCTTCTCCCAAGTTCATTGAGCATTCTTATGACTGTTAGTTTGTACTCTTTATCAGGTAGATTGTTTATCGCTATTTCTTTTAGTTCTTTTTCTGAGGATTTGTCCTGTTCCCTTATTTGGAACATATTCCTTTATCTCCTCATTTTGCCTATTTCTCTGTGTTTATATCTATGTATTAAGTATATCAGCTACATCTCATAATCTTGGAAATTTGGCCTTATGTAAGAGATGCCTTATGGGGGCCAGCAGTGTGCTTCCATCTCATCACCAGTTCCAAATGTTCCAGGAGTGTCCCCTGTGTGGGCTACGTGTGCCCTTCTGTTGTGGCAGGGTTGCTCTTTCTGTGGGCACACGGGTAGGCTAGGCTGCCCCCCGTGTAGCTGGTTGTAAGGCTCAGCTGTGTATGACTGCTGTGGTCACTTTAGTCACCTTATTGAGCTGGGCAAGCTCCTGCATGGCTGGCTATAAGGTCTGATAGCACACAACTGCTGCTGTTTTACTGTTAAGTGAGTCAGGCCCTCAGTGTGGCTGGTTGCTAGGCTCAGGGACTCACAATGGCTGCTGGCCTCTTGTGAGGCTCCCTGCAGCGCTGGGCTGTTGTTGGCTCTCTCAGGAGCACACATGAGTGTGGCTGGCCTCAGGCATGGCAGCACACAATGGGGTTTGAGGCATTGGAAGGAGGGGCAGATCTCTTGTGTGGCTGTTTGAGATTGGCAGCACACAAGTCTGCTGTGGACAATGTGCCCCACTGCCCCCAGGCCCACAGACCGTGCCAACGTAGGCCTGCCCTTCACGTACACCCCACCAAGATAGACCCACTCACCCTGCTGTGGAGTCCCACACACCTCACCTAGGTGGGCCCACAGGCTTGCTGGTGGGCAGGGCCAGTTCCTCGGGCAGGCTACCTGCCCTGGCTGTGCTGGATTAAATCGGTGCTCTAGTGGGCAGGGCAAATCCCTGTGCTAACAGGCCAGAGGAGGAAATCCAGTGGTGTCTGCCAGCATCTGTGTCAGCACAACAGCCCTATTAGGTCACAATAATCGCTGCCGCCAGTGTTTCAGTCCTGGGGAGGTGGGCCCAGCTGCCTCCTGCCTGTCTGAGATGCACTCAGAGCTTAGCAAGAGAGTCTCTTTTACCAAAGGACTATGCACCTTTCTTTCTGGTGATTTTGTCTTGGTTTCCGGAATGAGTGAATCTATACATGGGCCCTTTAACAGCAGGCTTTCTTTCCCTGAAGTTTGATAGTTTTTCTGTGGGTATTCCCTGTTGGTTTTAATGGCAAAGCCAGGTATTATGGGAACCCGTCTCGGTTGTGCTGAATCCAAAGGCTGGGATGCCTATTGTGGCATAGATCTCCCACTCAGATCCCCCCCACTCTTCCAAGAAAGGCTTTAAGATTGCCCCCAGCTGTGAAGCGCTGTGGCTAGGATGTGTTTTTTCTTCAGCAGAGGTGTATTTCTGCCCGTTTCACCCTGTCAGTGTTCTCCCTAGTTGTGGGGTTCTATTTATCCAGTTTATAGATCTCTCTCAGAGGAAATGGTTCCACAGGGAGTTGTAGATTTGTTGTGTCCGTGGGAGGAGATGAGTTCAGAGTCCTCCTACACTGCCATCTTCCCAGAATCCTCTGCATCAGTTTTTTAATAGCACTTTAGTATGATAGGAAAAGGCCGGCCCCGTGGCTCATCAGTTAAGTGCGCGCGCTCTGCTGCTGGCGACCCGGGTTCGGATCCCGGGCGTGCACCGATGCAGCGCTTCTCCGGCCATGCTGAGGCCGTGTCCCATGTACAGCAACTAGAAGGACGTGCAGCTGTGACATACAACTATCTACTGGGGCTTTGGGGAAAAAAAATAAATAAATAAATAAAATTATAGTATGGTAGGAAAGTGATCATACTATTTTGGCCTTTCTACAGAAAGGAAAATAAAACTTTGAGTGAAGTGAGTTGCAAAGACATTGCAGTTGCAAGGTCCGGGGATGGTAAGGGTAGTCAAGAATTTTCAGCTTCCATAAAGCATGGTTGCATTTCATTAGATGGTTCATTTTTTACCAGGGAAAGGCAGTGTTTTACACTTGTTCACACTATGACTTTTCCTGCTGTTCTTTCAGATGTCCTGATTAATTTCCTAAAGGAGGTGGCTGCCGCTGCCCCTGCATTGCCATTTTATTACTATCACATTCCTGCCGTGACAGGGATAAAGAGTAAGTACTGCTTCTTTCCCTCCACCTCTCACATTTTACTCTATTCCGCTAAGAAACCCCCACTCCGTCCCACCCCACCCCACCCCACCCCGCATCACAAAAGCATAACACTGTTGACTAGATGTTCCAATTGCTTCAAAATAAGTCACTCATCAAAAATAAGTCAGCCCTGGGGCCGGCCTGGTGGCCTAGTGGTTAAGTTCACACGCTCTGCTTCGGTGGCCTAGGGTTCATGGGTTTGAATCCTAGGCACAGACCTACACATCGCTCATCAAGCCATGCAGTGGCAACATCCCACATACAAAAAATAGAGAAAGATTGACACAGATGTTAGCTCAAGAACAATCTTCCTCAAGCAAAGAGGAAGATTGGCAACAGATGTTAGCTCTGGGCCCATCTTCCTCACCAAAAATAAAAAAATAAAGTCAGCCCTTATCAATCATTGACACCACCTTATAATGGAAGTTAAGTATGAAAGACTAGTTGGCCCCCAAGCGCTTCTAGAAGACACTTTGTGTCTGTCACACACACCTCTCCTTATATGGGAAGACACAGCCTGTAAGCGCCATAGGACAGGGACTGTGTCTACCTTGTACCCTACACTATTCTCGTTGGCTGGCACTTAGGAAGGTACTCTGATCTCTTCTCACTTTTCTTCTAGCTTTTCTTTTATTATTATTATACTTCTCCAGCAAGAAGATTGTTACAATTAGATGAAATTTCTTAGAAGATTATTTTTTAAATCTCATTGCTTTCTAACTTCCTTAAAAGAAAAAACAGAAGTTGTGCTTTATAAATTTATAAATATCTATCTACTGTCTTCAAGGAACGGAAGACTTGGGGCTATAATTTGACAAGTACATAGGAACTACTAGGGCCTGCGCGGTGGTGCAAGCAGTTAAGTGCATGCACTCTGCTGCGGTGGCCCGGAGTTTGCAGGTTCGGATCCCAGGTGCACACCGAAGCACCGCTTGTCAAGCCATGCTGTGGTGGCATCCCATATAAAATAGAGGAAGATGGGCACGGATGTTAGCTCAGGGCCAATCTTCCTCAGCAAAAAAAAAAAAAAAAAGGATTCACATCAGATGTTAGCTCAGGGCTGATCTTCCTCATAAAAAAATAAATCAAAATTTTTAAAAAGTACATAGGAACTACTAGGTGAAGGCAAGTGATTATGTCCAGTCTGCAGTCAGTTCCAGCTGAGAACAGCCCCTGGTAGCTCAATGCAGCTGTGTAGGGCTGTATGAAATGTTATTTGACATTTTCCAGAGGTGTGCAGGTTAATGAAGCATTTATTGTTTTGAGCAGTTCGTGCTGAGGAGGTGTTGGATGGGATTCAGGAGAAGATCCCCACCTTCCAAGGGCTGAAATTCAGTGACACAGATCTTTTAGACTTCGGGCAGTGTGTTGATCAGAATCGCCAGCGACAGTTTGCTTTCCTTTTTGGGGTGGATGAGGTAAGTCACCCCCTGGCATATCCCAGTAGGTTAGTTTCTGTCCAAAACAATTTATGTAGCATCATTTCTCTTTCTCTTTTTCATAAAAGTGAATACTCTTTCTTTCTGATTAGCAACTGTTGAGTGCTCTGGTGATGGGAGCGACTGGAGCGGTGGGCAGGTAAGCATGACTCATTTTTCCCAATGGTTATAAATGTACAGTACCCCTCCAGGGGCATTCATCACCTAAGTAGTTACCCTTCTTGCGTGTATACCTTTTCTGATGGAAGTTGCCTTTCTTTCCCACATTCTTTCAGTGAAAGGGAATTTAGAGCTTAGCAGTTTGTTAGCAACTCAGTCATTATTAGAAGCACTGTTGGATTAGAGGTGAGGCACACAAGCTGAGAGCATGCACAGAAATCTCTTGGTTATGAATAACAGAAATCCATTCAAGCTAACTTATGTAAAAGAAGGTAAGTTATTATAAAATACTGGGAAATTACATAAAACCCAAGAGGAGGAAGTGCAGCCAGGCCTCAGGATGAGAACCTGGAACTGCAAAGCCCTCAACAGCCAAGGCAGATTCTTCTACGTCTGTGGTCCTCTGGAGACTCTCACCTCTGCATCTCTCTGCACATCCCTTTATTTCCTTCTCTTTCTCTCCAGATGGGCTTTCTCTGCTTCTCCATGCACATGGCCAATCATGATGCCCAAATGTAGCATCTCAGGATATCACTAGGTAGCACTGCCTAGTGAGGTGTCCACCTAAGGTCCAATCAGCTGCAGCCAGGAACGTAGAATGCCTACTCAGCAGAAGGCTTGGGGAAGGCTGGTAACTCCATTAGCATGTCCACTGCACATGTTAACCTAATTCATTAGAAATATACCTGCAAGCAGATTGATTGAAATATTTTCATTAACTGAAAATACATTTCCTCCCCGTAGGAAAAGTACAGGAGAAGCAAAGTAATATTCATAAAGTGTCTTGGTGAGCTTGGCTTTGATGAAGGGTGATTGAGTTGGATGGTCTTTATGGCTTGTTAACCAAGCCAGGATGGCGTGTGGCATCCATCACCAGTATAAGGACATTTCTGCCAAGGAAACCTGGATGCCTGCATTTGTTGACTGTGGAAACTTTTTTCCCCTGGAAATGCTTACTTTTTTGACTCTTGTTTTTTGGCCTCCGTACTAGGCATTTTGATTCTGTCAACGTAGTCTATAAGCAAAGTACATTTGGTTAGACTTCATTTCTTCTTAATTATAATCACATTCCTCTCTGTCTAACTGAGGATACATTTAAAACCACTGGGATTCAAATTTTAGGATTCTGAAACTCCTCAGACATTCATGTACATATTGTGACTTAGGAGTGTTTCACATCTACCAGTGACTTCGCTATTATATTTTATTTTTCCTTAATTTATTACCAGAAGATAATGTGAACTTCACGTTCTTGGAATCTCTTGCTGTTGACTCTGGGGTCTACATATATGGGGTACCAGCAACAACATTCTGTTCTTGGTACATCAAGATAAATACATTTTTCTGACACTGACTTAGTATATGAGAAGTCATTAGAAACTGGGGAAATATCCTTGTTACGAATTTCTATAACCTTCTACCTTGCTGGTTTCCCTAAGAATTCAGTAATTAGTCTAAGATGTTTGTCTTTATTGGTAAGTTAGGGATTTTTTTTTAAGTCCACAAGAACATTTTATCAGATCAAATAACATTCTCACCTTCATTTTTGTTGAATTGTGATAGAAGGCAGCATGAAGTGATGGAAAGCCTTTGTGACAACTCTGTAGCCTGTCTTGGAACTGAGTTTTTTCACAGTGAAATAGAAACCAGTTCTACCTTGCAGGGCTTTGAGAGGATTAGACATAATTTACGTCAAGCAGTTAACAAATGGTCTCTCATTTTACTATTATCATTATTAATGTTATTATTAGAAACTAGTCTCTAGGTAATATGTAAGTTGGCAAAGAATTTAGGTAATCTGTTGGGATTTGCCCCTTTTACTGTGGTGCTCTGTTCACCCAGTTCCTCAGCAGAAGGCTTTGAGGACTCTCCTCAGATATTACACTTTATCCACAGTTCTTATCCAGCGTTGCCCCCAGTGTGGGCCCCGGAGCAGCAGCTGGTCTCAGTTGCTCCCTACCTATTAGACTTCCATCTTTCACTTTTTTTTTCTTTTTCCTAACTTTATCCTTTTTTTGTTTCTCTTCCTTTTCTTTATTCCCTTTGGTGTTCTCTGCTTCCTCTTGGCCCTGCTCCGTGTTGCTGGAAGACTCAACTGAAGACACCTGATCCTCAAATAGATTAGGGCCTACAGATAGACTTCTAGACACCTGATCCTCTAATAGATTAGGGCCTATGAATAGACCTCTAGAAGTCCAGGTATGTTTTTCCCTTTTAAGCAGCAGAGGGGTTTGAAGATCTGGACCTTTCCCACTGAGTTATTGATCCTGCAGTGTGTGCTGTTTTCTTTTCAGTACCTATAATTACCTGGGAAAAAAGACAAACCAGATGTTGGAGGCTTTTGAAAAAAAGGACTTCTCTTCAGCCCTGAACCACCAGGTTAATTTTTTCTTCCCTTCACATAAATCAGGCTTTTTTCTTCCCCACTGGATAATTCTTACGCTCTCTCATCAGCATTCCTACCACACCTGCCCTCATTAAAATCGCCTAGCTGCCTCTTTCTTTGCTTTCTTTCTGTTTCTTACTTTTTCTTGTTTAAAACCAAACCTATCCCCATTGTCTGTGTTCCCTACACATCTAATCAGGACAGGCTCCATACGGGAATGTTCCTCTCTGTTCCTCCTAGAAATGATCTTATTTTTACTGTATGTTCAAAGTATTTTTGTGACTGTAAAATAATAGTGATAGATCTCTGGGAAAATAACCACATGCCATCCCCTTGAGGATGTCACACCTGAGTCACCAGAGTATCTGAAGAATCTATGAAGCTGCTAACATAAAATGGGGAGACTTAATCCAAAGTCAGACAGGTCAGTCTTCTTAACCCTGGAAATGTGCTGAGAACTGAAAACATCCACCAGGCAGGAAACAAGAGCCGAGTGGTTGATCCAGAAGGAGACACCGGCTTTGAAACAGGAAAAGCAGCAGGAGCTAGTGTGTTACAGGGAAGACCCCAGAGGAAATGGTGGCTGCTGTTAATGTTACATGGAGGACAACCTCTCTGTGCAGAGAATGAATAGCCTCACTGAAGGGTAGAACCAGTCTCAGCAGCTGAGTAGGGTGTGTACTTTAGGTAAATGGAATGAGGTGGAAAGAAATAGGGTAGGCACAAGGGAAAGACTTTTAGAGGCCAAGAGGCACAGGGGTTTTCAGAATAATAAAAACGGCTGAGGAGTATCCCAAGAAAATGTGGGAATGAAAGGCATAAGCAAGATTAGAGCAGATGGTCAGTCCCAGTAAAGCTCAGATAAGGGGTCTTTTTGAACAGGACAGGCCACCATCAGGACAATCAGATTAGAGAGCAGAAGTACAAAGCATCCTCGAGGTTAGAGGGAGTGACCTGAGCTCCAACCCAGAGAGAACATGAGGAGGCAGTTGCCAGGAGTGATTAATTATCCCCCACCCTTTAGTCCTGAACATTAAGCCAGGCTAAATCTACTTTCTACCTAAAGTTTAAATAGCTTACTTAATATTCCCCTTTGTTCAGCCCCAGACCAAGTGAAGCTGAGAGCAGGAACCGGGTAGGGACTTTGGAAGCTATGCCGAGTAAACTAAACATTGGCAAGACTTTGGTTTGAATTAAGAGACTAAGTCTGAATTGTGTGGACTCTGCCATCTCTTTGCATTCCTCGTTATTTTTTTTTTCCTTGGCTTCCCAGAAAAAGTTATTTCTGAAAATTCCAACCTGTTCTGAGCTGAACAACAGGGAAATCATAGGATAGAGTAAACTGAAACAGCTGTGATATGGACCTTTTCACTTAGTGGTTTCTTTTATTGGCTGATCTAGTTTCCAGCTCTCTTTTTTTTTTTCCTTTACTCCCACTCAAATCATCCCACTCAACAGTATTGGTAAGGAATTTAGTTGACCACATTCCCTGTTTCTTCTTACAGAAGGCAAGTGCAAGTGGGTCTTGTTTACTCATTTATTCATATGCCAAGGGCTGAGCTGAGGACATAGTTTCAAAAAGGCTGGTCTCTGCCCTAAGGGAGTTTGCAGTCAAATGAAGAAGCAGACAAGGAAAAAGTTAGGGCTAAACTTATTCATTCTCATGGACTTAAATGCCCTCCGTTATATTTATGTAAATGAAATGACACATGTACAAAGATATTCCTTACAGCATTGTTTATAATAGCAAAAGACGGAAACAACCCAAATATCCATCCATAATGTTAAATACATTATGTTTGAGTTATGCAGTGGAATTACGTACAGCCCTTTAAAAGGAAGAGATGGGTTTATATGTACAGATCTGGAAAGATCTCCATGATATATTAAGTGTAAAAAGCGGCAAAGTACAAACTTGTGAATGTAATGTGCTACAGCTTATATGTGAGGGAAAAAAGAACATATATGTTTGTAAGGCTCTTGGTATTAAATTTTACTCTGCATTGAAGTTTTTATTATTAGTATCCAATTGATTAAAACAACATAAAAGTAAAATGTTATTGAAAATGCATCTCTTAATGAGATGGATGGGTGTCTTTTTTTATGAATTAGTTCATGAATTCATGGATGAATGTTACTTAATGCTAGGATAAGTTAAAATTCAGCATCGATACTATTTCTGTTTTTTGATTTTAGAGAAATAACTTCTGTGAAACCCCATTCCTATAAATTAGTAGATAAGAATGGAAGAAATTTTGTTGTAGCAATGTCACTCAATTCTTCGAACAGTTTTTGAATCATATGCCAAAAATCACAGAATGCTTGATCATTTAATGATTTTCAGCTGACAACCTGAGTAACAACATTGGAAGCAATGTTGAAAACAAAAAACTGAAAACTCTATGATTTTTTAGAGGACTTGTTATCCATTAATTAGAGGAATCACTCTGTCACTCTTTGTCAGTGCCAATACCAACATTTTGATTGGCTCCTTTATTTGGTTCCCAGAGGTGTCCTGAGGCAGTGATATAGGAGGTATGTTTTTCAAAAATGGGAGAAGAAGGACTGTGAAAGGGGAAATATAAAAGGACAACCTGCACCTCCATTACATGTGAATTCTTATTCTGATCAGTTTTAGAAAATAGCACTTTGGAAGTTGAGGATATATAAATTGAGTCCAGTAAATCTTAGCCTTCGCCAGGTGCCCCTTAGGTGTCTTGACAGGTGCCCCAGAGGTTAGTGTACCCCACTTGGAAAACAACTGCACTAGCTGATAAGTTTACCTACGTAAGCCAGATGGATAAAGGGTGCCTTCCGCCATCTTAACTCTCTCTGGTACAATTCTATCATTGGAGCTTCTTTTCTACATGGGCCCATTTTATAAACTTCTGTGTATGAAAAGATCCTATCTTCTCCTGGATGGATCTCAACCATCCTCACTTGGCTGTTTTTCTCCACTCTGACACACCTTTAGAAAACTAAGGTGTGTGGACTATTATAGACGGGAGTTTCTGCAATTTGACCTCTAAATGCTTTAAATTGTTATCACAGTTCAGTAATACTGACTATAGATTTGTTTGTTCCTTTCCAGTTTTGTATTCAGAGATTTATCAACTTTGTGGTCAAACTAGGTAAGTTTCCTGCTTCGTCTGCTACTGGAGAGTGTAAAGGAAAGGGACTTCTCTGAGGGTTTCAGAGAAAGTGAGGGGGGACTTTCATCACTCTGTCTGAAAGTCCAACAAGAACACTTTTTAATGCTTTGTTGTACGCAGAGTTTTATTTCCAATACTAACCTTCAGGGCCAACCCTATAAAATGGTGAAGTAAACCTAGTTGGAAGGTCTTTGGCACCCTTCTACAAATCTCTCTCCTCCATTTTAGCACTTTGTTCACCTCCCCGCTCTGTACACACACCACTTTTTGTTCCTTCTCTCCTATACCAGCAGCACTCCTTCCCTTTACTTGCCTCTGCTTATTAAAATTCTACAGCCACACTATAGCTGATTTCAGCCTAAGTGCTTGGAGGAAGGGAGTTTGAATATAGATCTTACTAAACCGTGAATGACTGAAAGCTCTCCCAAGAGTGTCTGCAATTTAAAAAGAGTTTGTTCACACAAATAAGCTTAAATA